CCCCTCCCTACGCCCTCCTCGACGCGTTGGCGAGGAATAGACGATTTCTCCCTGTCACGCTACACCATACCCCACCCCGCCTCTCCTTCTTCACCGCAGTGAGCCTCTCTCTCTCCCCAGACCGCTGGTTCAACGCAGACACACGTCAGAGTGAAAGCCGGGGCAGGAGGGGGCGCTTAACGACGTGATTTCTATAAGCACGGTACTTGTCGCTTGCGTCCCCAAGAGTCTTTCCCTGAGACATGATCAAGGAAGGGACTTGCAACACGGCGGAAGTACTCATAGTTGAGTCTTACGACGGTTGCAAATAATAATAATAATAAAAATTACTGAATAACATCACTGAGTAATGTTGACAGGGCATATGGCGGATGGGGGGGGGCGTTTTGTAACAACACAGTAGGCGGTAGTGCCCCCCTAGTCCCTTCCAAAAAAAGAGGGGGGGGGGTAAGAAGAAGCATGCCACTTGCCCGCCCCCGTCCCATCGTCGTGGCGATATTAAATCCTACCACCACTGCCGCGTTGCAGATGCTGCACGAAAGAAAAAGGCAGAGGAGGAATCTGCGGAGACAAATCAGCGTGGGGCCGCGGGGGCCGCCGCTGTGCCAACACGCGACAGACAGCGAGGCGGCGCGGGGGCGAGAGCGCGCGCAAGTCACCCTGTCACCAGCTCGCAACAGCTCCTTTTCTTAGTCGCAGCCTGGGGTGTATTAATCTCTCCGATTAACTGAGCTGACTACAAGTATTCTTCATCTCGTAGTGAGTGTGGAATTAAACGTTAGTTACCTAAATGTTTCCAAGGTGCATAATGTTTGAACACCAATTGCCATCTAGTTCAGGTCAACACTACAAATTTGCTGAGCAGCTTTTCTACATTAGTGTTATCAGTATGTGTGAGACAAACTCTGCACAGCAAATATCATCACGTTTGCTAAATTTATGCAAAACATTAAAAAAATCTTACTCCGACATAGAGGGTGGGCGATCCGCGCCATCTTTTTTAAATGCTTATACTGTATCGGATTCACGCGTGCGGTCGGGCTTGCCTACCGTCGCTGACCAGGGCGCCTCACTTACTGCGCCGTGCGAGAATGCAACCCGTCCGCACGTAAGAATCCGGTACAGTATAAGCATTTTAAGACGGCGCGGATCACCCACCCTGTACATGGTAAGAGTTGCCAAACTTACAAGCACCAAAAACGCAGAGCACGTGCAGGTTAACGAGACCTCGTGGTTTCCAATGAGAACGTCAGAAAGAAAGAAAAAAAAAACACACACAAAAAAA